GTAAGTCAAATAAAGTTATCATAGGTTTTATTTTCAAAATAAAGTCTCAAAAATAATTTATTGAGGGTAGAGAAAATAAGCCATATTCAAGATAAAATAGAGAAACCAGTGTCCTAAAAAATCTATGAAAAGTTATGGTTAGAAACCAAGAGTCAGGATGAACACAATCTAATGAAGAAGATAGTCTAGTTTAAAAACTACCATCACCACCATCATTCCCTTGAAATTCAGAATACAGAAGAGTCCTAATCTACCAAGATGTAGAAGAAGGTTACCAATAGAAGAAGTGGCCACACTGCGTGTATAAGCCAGTCGTTTCTCAAACCAAACAGCTGGGTCCAAGAATTTTTCCATGCAGAAGTAACGAAAAACTGGTTGAAAATTTTGGCAAATATTCATGAAGATCTCATATTTCTCTTCAAATGACCTCCTTTGTACTTCCTTTAAATAGATCACATGTAAAATTATTTTCTTAATACTGTGTTCAACCAAGTAAATTGATGTCCACTATGTTTCTAAATGAAAAATATAATAGACATGAAGCAAGATACAAGAAACTAACAATGTGGCCAGAGAAGAAATTAGTTACAAGTAATAATCAGGACTTTTATATTAGGTTTAAGGGAAGGAAGCATAAAAATAATGACAGTTGTTTAATTTGAATGATCTTGTAATCTAGATAGAAGTAAACACAGAAATGCCAAAGGTAGCCTCAGATAATTTCAGATGGCATCACAGCACTACGGTTCTGACAAGAAACAGAAAAGGATGAAAGGATGGAAGAATCATTGATGGATGGCAAAGCAGTTGACATGTTGTCTCAGGTCTCTGTCCTCCAACATCTTCCTGCTATGTAATACTTTTCTGAAGCAAAGCTTATCTATTTCAATGGGCTCAACTCTCTTCTGTGTCTGCTGAATAAATCTGCATCTTCAGTACAAACTCCAGCTTGATGTGCTACTTCAACTGCCCCCTTCTCTTCACTTGAAAATCACTTCCAATTCCAAACAAAAGATCTCTTCATCTTTGGAAAACCTCAGCCACCTTCTCTATTTTTATCTTGGCAAATAGCCTCACTATTCACTTGGTCACCCCAAGGATAACTGGGAGGCACTACTTTTCAGCCTCACTTCTAATTGGCCATCAAATCTTATCAGTTCTGCCTCTTCCTTATTATTATTTTTGGCGGGGGGCAGGAGATGTACCAGGAATGGAACTCGGGAGCACTTGACCCCTGAGCGGCATTCCAGCCCTATTTTGTATTTGTTTAGAGATAGGGTCTCACTGAATTACTTAGCGCCTAGATTTTGCTGAGGCTGGCTTTGAACTTGCTAACCTCCTGCCTCAGACTCCCAAGCTGCTGGGATTACAGGCATACCTGGCTTGCCTCCAGCACCTGGTCTGCCTCCTTAATTTTTCTTATATCTCTCCATGATTCTTGATTCCTATCATTCTTAATCTTAGCTCAGACTCCATCTCAGACTTCCAATCTGCTTTTTCAAAAGCACAACCCACAAAGTTGTTAGTTATTTTTCTAAAATGCAAATCCAACATTACTACCCTCTCAAGAGTCTTATATTGCCCACAGGTAAAGTGCAAACTTCTTAGCATTTCATAAAGCAACCCTCCATTTTTTGACCAACTACTACTTCAATCTCATCTATCTCTTCCTCCTCCTATGCTGTCTTACATGCCTCCTTCCTGTTGCTTATATGCTTCTTCTGCTTGGAAAACCCCACTTATTTACAAAGTTTGGTTTAAACACCTTCTCCTCTGTGAAGCCTTTCGTGATCTAATCTCTTTGTTTTCTAACCTGATATAAAACCAACCATATTCTTCCTCTATGCCTACACTTTACCCAGTCTGTTCCACACAGATTTTCATTATAATGAATGCCCTATAGCATTTACAACATATTTTTAAAAACATGTAATAGAAAGCACAATAAAATGAAAAGTAAATGGATTTTAAAGTTTAGACAGACAAGATTCAATTCCTTGTTACATTGCTTATTAGGTTGTTGACCTTGAGAAAAGTAAATTTTGGAATTTCTCATTTTACACAGGGGACGAGAATGTTGATTAGTTAAAAATATTTGTGAAGACTCAGCATAGTACCTAAGTAGATAGGAGGCATTCAATAAATGTTGCTGATACAGTGAATAAACATCAGACAAGATGGCCACTGACATGGCAAATATCTCTATCAATTTCATAGAAAATTATCACATAATCTTTTTTTTGTTTTAATTGGCATTTTGTTTGTTAAGAATTAACTTAACTGAATAATGTTTAAATTTCTCATCTGACAAGGGCTAGCACTTCACATAGTTCCAAATTTTCTGTTTTTACTCATACACTTTCATCCTAGTGCTATTACTTTTTTTTAAACTTAGTATCTTTAGCTATGAATAATTTTTCAATAACTTTTGAGTGCTACTCACCATCATTTTCTTTTGGCATTGAAAAGCACTGAAATCATTTGGCCTATATCTTTTGTGAGCCCCATCTTCATTGTTAACAAGA